TATTATTATTATTATTATTATTATTATTATTATTATTATTATTATTACAATGTTTGCAATTGGGCAGCCAGAATTACATACTGTATTCCAGGGGTCTTTATTCCAAAGCTGGCTGAGGAATTCTGGGAGTTGAAGTCCACAAGTCTTAAAGTTGCCAAGGTTGGAGACCCCTGCTCTATTTCACATATGGTCATACTGTAGATTATGGCATAGTGCAAACATGCTTCCTTAATGGTTGGATACTAGAAATACTTTGCACCTCCTCATCCTTTGAGGGAGTGCAATGTTGGTTGGAAGTGAGGGATCCATGTCATTGAGGTCAGGGGAATTCCTAGGATAATAATAAGAGCAGTTTGCTCTTTCATCCACAGTGAAGAGATAGCCACTTAAGCAGTCCTCAGTAGCTGTTCAAGCAAGGCCGGATTGGCCCAGAGGAGCAACATGTGTCATCTCCTGAAACTTCAAGGCTAAACTTGACTCCTTGGTTTGCCTTAGCAAGATGCAGCTCAGTTTGAACAGAGTCCTTATGATGAGAATAAACAGTTTATTTCCCATTGCGAGTGAATATTCCAGTAACAGAGAATATCTGTAGCTCAGGGTTGAACTGTGGAGTTATAGGTGCTCTCTCAGAACTGATGATGTTACCTAACTGGGTAATGAAACATCATAGTCAATAGTGATAAATAACTTCTTTGGCCCTTGAGGAGCCATCCTGCCACCCATTAAAAATGATAGATATTTGGCATGGTCTTTGATGATTTCAGGCAGGGGTGGGATTCAATTTTTTTAACAACCGGTTCTGTGGACGTGGCTTAGGTGGTGGGCATGGCTTGGTGGTCATGTGACTGGGTGGACATGGCTTGGTGATCATATTATTGGCTGGGTGTGGCCAACTCAATATCACTCACATCGAGGCACGCATCTCCTCGCCTGGCCTCTCATGACCGTGGGGATGCTGCAACAGTTGTAAGTGTGAAAAACTAAGTCACTTTTTTCAGTGCCATTGTAACTTTGAATGGTCCACACAAGCAAAGTACCAGCAAAGGAGGGGAAATAAATTCCAGAGAAGTTCCTGAGACAGGAAGTCTAGTCCTGCCAAGAATGTAATAAGGGTTAATGGAGAGGCAGTTTCTGTAAGCAACACCAGAATGCTTCCTTCCTGCCTTCCTTACAGGATTAGGCCAATAATTTCTTCAAACCACCAGTTCTCCGAACTGCTTAGAATGTTAACAACTGGTTCTAGTGAATAGGTGCAAACTGGTAGAATTCCACCCCTGATTTCAGGGCCAAGAAGGTACTGTATGTCAGGTTGCTGACATAACATATCTGGATTTAGTCAGATTTTTCTGGCTGATCCTCAAAACTGGGTTTCCCACCCCCCTTCCTTTATATTGATTGTGGCCCTGAGGTATATCTTGTACGTGCATCCTGTAGCTATGGTTCAGTTGTATACTTCCTTGTGGTGTAAGAAGTTAGGCTTCATAGACTGCGGTTTCATTTCATAGTCTTGAATTGTAAAGTAACTTCATTATAAATCATTCTACCTTCTGAGAAGATTATTCAGTTGATTTTCGGATCTCCCCTAATTCAATGTACACATTAATTACAGTATTAACATTAGAATTAGAAGTTAGAAATAGAATAACAGAGTTGGAAGGGACCTTGGAGGTCTTCTAGTCCAACCCACTGCTCAGGCAGGAAACCCTATATCTGGGGTCTTCAAACTTGACAGCTTTAAGACTTGTGGACTTCAACTCCCAGAATTCCTCCTCCAGTCATGTTAGCTCAGGAATTCTGGGAGTTGCAGTCCACAAGTCTTAAACGTGCCAAGTTTGAAGACCCTTTCCCTATATTATTTCAAACAAACGGGTTGTCCAATCTCTTCTTAAAAGCCTCTAGTGACGAAGCACCTACAACTTCTGGCAAGTCGTTCCACTGATTAATTGTTCTGTCAGGAAATTTCGCCTAAGTTCTCTCCTTGATTAGTTTCACTCATTGCTTCTGTCCTGCCCTCAGGTGCTTTGGAGAATAGCTTGACTCCCTTTTCTTTGTGGCAGTCCCTGAGATATTGGAACACAGCTATCATGTCACCTCTAGTCCTCCTTTTCATTAAACTAGACATACCCAATCCCAGCAAATGTTCTTTATATGTTTTAACATGAATTAATCTGAGAGATGAAAACTGAGATTGTGGCTGTGACTTACTTTTTTCAATTTTGTTCAAACAATGAATGGAGGACCTTAAGTTACGCTTCTTGAAAATGCAGAGTTTGTGTTCGTGCAAAACGTGTATTCTTTTTCTTTTTCTTCAATCCTCATAGCAAACAGCGTTTTGAGGGAAATAAGACATGTTGGTCCGGTCTTCACTTATTGTTTTTAAGCAAGAAAATAGACTATCTGGTATTAAAGTCTGTTCTTGAATATCTTCATCTGAAAGCAGAAACTTCAACTGGTGTGCCTTTTGGGTGCTTGGATTTTCATCTTTTGAGCTTGCCCTGCTCTGCCCACTTCCACTATTTTTGAGAATAAGGCTGATTTTATCAAATAAAGACTTATTTTCATTGGGGTCAACAATAGGCCATGCGGAGGCCACAGGACTGGTATAATCTTTCTTTAAATTACTTATGGGAAAAACTATTGAATTGGATTTGGTGTCCCAGTTTTGAACAGGGATTTCACTGCTGCTGCTGAAAGTAGTTCCCAATTGAGCCTTATTAGAAGTCTGGGGCTTATACCCACTTATCTCAGTCACATCCAAATTGCTGGCAAATGGTACATCCTCTGAGCTACTGACTTTCTCAGAAACTGTTTTGCTTCCCCCCTTTTTTTTCTCCACAGCCCTATAGTGGTTCTGCATCAATATTTCTTCAACTTCAGTTACCACAACATCCAAAAATGGCTCGGAAAAATTGTCTGTCTCATCATCATTTTCCTAAGCAGAAAAAATAAGATAGAAAGTGTTGAATATTCTAGCACTCGTGTGGGTACATCATAAAGGTTGGAACACGGAGGAAGCAAACACCTACTGATGTGCTTGCCGTGTCACAGGATTCTGACTATAGATAGCTTTTGACTTATGATCACAATTGGGAGTTGGTGCAGTCATAAGTTGAGTTGGACCAAATTGTATGGCAATTTTTACAATGGTTGATAAGTGAATTCTGCTTACCAATGGGCATTTTTTTGCCTTTGTTTGCTATAAATCATCAAAATGGGTTCCAAATTGTGATTATGTGACCGTAGAATGCTACAACCACTCGTAAACGTGAACTGGTTGTCAAGCACTAAACTGCAATCAGGAGACTGTAGTGGTGATTCAACGGTCATAAGTGTGAGTACAGACCATAAATCACTTTTTCCTTTGTAACTTTGAATCATTGTTAAATGCATGGTTGTAAGTTGAAGGATTTATATAATGTTCTACTCAAAAAGGAAAGTGGGGGGGGGGGATGGATATTTAAGTACTTCCTGGTTTCCTTAAATATAAAAACATTATAATCAGAAGAATTACCTGGAGATATTTGATTACTTTGCTGTTTTCCATCTTAGGATATTCTTCAAAAAGCCATTTTGGTGCTACCCAACTAACCATTTTGTTAACCCTTGAAACAAAAACACAACATGTTAACTTGCATTTTTAAATATCGATGTAATTGTCAACACTTATTGTGGCTGTAGAATTGTCTTCAAATATGGATCATCATCACACAGATCTATACCGGAGTTGGGAAAGTTAGCAGGAAAGAGCTACTGAGCGGCTATTAAACCAATACTTCTTCTGCTACTAACTTTTATCCTTGAATGTCCTCTTTTCAATCCTCTCTCTCCATTCATCTATTTTTTAAAAATCTTCAAAGATGATGGGAAGAATTATGAAGGGAATGAGAGGAAATGCTAGGAGGCTTTTCTATATCAACTTGTTTTGCAAGCTGCTTTGAAGACATCCACTCACATTGGGACACAAAGATCTGTAATTACATTCAACTTAACAGTGCTCATGTGTATCAACAATTTATGGACATTTCCGGCCTCCAGAGGGCCTCCGGAGCCCATAGAGGGCGTTTTCGCCCTCCTGGAAGCTTGAGGAAAGCCTCCAGGGTTGGAGAAGGCAAACACACACACACACACTCTGCCCTGGTGCAGGAGGCTGACTAGGCCACGCCCACTATGACCAGGCAGAGAACTGGTTGCTAAAAATTTTGAAGCCCACCCCTGGATATAGATAGTCCTTGAGTTCAGACTGGTCACTTAGCAACCAAATGAAACCATCATGAACTCTTCCAAAGCTGCTTATGACCAGTTTTGAAGTTACAGCTGTGATGTAGTGGGCAGTAGGCCCAATTGCCTTAGGGGAGCCTGATGAATGGCGTGAGGTACTTCCGGGAACCTCAGGCCTCCCAAGGCCTCCTGCACTCACTGAGGCCTGCGCTAGACCTCCCAGGACTTCTCCTACTCCTGAGGCACCCAATACTCTGTTTAACATCTGTATCAGGGAGAGCAGGTGGGAATTGTTGAGTTGATCGTGTGAGTGCCTCCCTGAATGATCATCATGATTTGTAACGGTAATGGGCGGGCTTTGTTATGGTCATAATTTGAGGACTACCTGTATTGGGCCTGTACATTCCCAAATGATGGTCTCAAGAATTGGGTGGTTACATAAATTAGATTAATAAATAAAACTAAACTTTCATTAACCAAAGCCTGGGAAAAATAGCAATTGGTACCTTTTCCTGCACGATTTTATTGCAATCAAAGTGAAAACAGAGATTGATAAGAAAGCCACTCCGACACCAGTTCCCAATAGAATCCCAGTATCGTAATCATCATTCCCTGAGAGAGGGGGGGAGGGGAAAGGGAAGGATAAATATATAGATTTTATATCACATTCATGCATTCCGAATGAATTCAAAATAACACAAGCAGGAAAGTGCAACTCCTGGATTTTTTTTTTAAACAACTGGATAAGTGTTATCATCTGCTGGAGAAGAGGATAATTGCCAGATACTCCTTGCTCTATAAGACCCTAGCAAGGTCTTTTGTTTTAAAACAGTTTTACTACTGTTTCTGGCAGATAAGAAACATGACACTAGGGACAATACTGCAAGTAAAGAACAGTTGGATACATATTTCATTTTCTTTGTCAGCTTTTTAAACAGTAAACCATTTCAACGCAACACCACTTGCATTTCTAATTAAAAGCCAATGATTTAAGCTGAACAATTTTTCAATTAAACAAAGAATAAAGCTCAGTAAGTTGTACCCAGGTTTATAAACAGAACAGAAAGCATAATGAGATGTGGCTTCAAATCTGCTTTGGCAATCTACAGCCCGTTGTAGATTAGTTGATAAAGTTAGTGGGTTTTTTTTCTACTATTCTGGATTCTGGCTTTCTTTTTGTTTGTTTTTTTGCTGCAATGGCAACATTTTTGACCAAAAGCTCAGCAGAGCTATCAAATGATCAGCAGGTGCTTTAAATTGGATAGGTCGTTTCTGGTAGTGCCCTAAGAATAGATTCATTCAAATTATTACATCCCATTTATTTATATGGTTCTATGTAAGTTGAAACAATATTATTCAAAGTAGACATTATGGAGAACAGTGGAGTTAACTCCCAAGCAGCTATGTGTAGAATTGTAGTTATGAGGACTTATTAAAATTACAACATGCTTGTTTCCTTGATTGTTTTGGTTGTCTTTTTTTGAAATGTTGCAATAATATTTTAATGATCCAGAATGCTGTGACAAATGTGATCTCTGCATGGAGGGGATCTAAAGAAAACCACTTGGAACAAACCAAGTGAAATCAATGAAACTTCAGTTGACCATGCAACAGAATTCCCAAAAGTTATTGAGGAATAATTGAGTTACTGCAAAATTCTTGAAAAATCTTTCTTAAGGAGGCTGAGATGAAGAGAAACATGTTTGGGTTGCAATGAAATCAACCCTGCTGTAGAGTTATAAAGACTAAGGATTCTATTGTGGTAAAGACTTTCACAAAAGAGTCTTTTCTCTTTTTAAGCTTAACCATGTTTTTATTTGGTTTCCTGTTCTGTCTGTATTTAAATCTTTTTTTTAAAGTCAATACTTCTTATGCTTTTAATTTTTTAAAAAAGTGTTCTTTGTTTAAATTATATTTATGCTGCCACCTGTTTTATTTTTACTTTTTTAAACTAAGTTCTCTTATTCTCTTTAATGAGGTTCCTGACTTTGGTCACTAATGGGTTTCCAAGGATAGTTATAGAAATTTATTAAACTACATTAAGTGGTAGAAGTTCTTGCTTTTTATAAGTTCTTTCATCCAAGGATTTGAACATATCCCACCCAAAAGCCTGGGGATTTTGACTGAATACCTGTGGGAATTTTTCAGGTGCTATAAGAATATTACTATTTTGTATTTTTGCCACTAACAAAGTTTATATTTCCCTTGGCCCTATCAGAAATGGAAATCAAAAACCCTGGACTCCTCTGGATGTTCTGCTTGCCCTGGAGGAATGCTGTCCCACAAACCATTTAAAGACATTAACACATTATATCATCCTCAATCCAGTGGTGGGATTCAAATAATTTAACAACTAGTTCGCCCAGGGTCAGAGTGGCTGTCATTGGAGGCATGGTCCATCCCCATCCTCCAGCTCCTACTGCAAATGTGGGACGAGCCTCCCATGATGGCCAAACTGACCCTGAGTGAACTGGTTGTAAAATTACCCCCACCCGCTATCAAAGCGGTTCCTGGGTGCTGCGCTGCAATGGAAACGGAGCAGCTGGCACATGGGGATGAGGGCAGGGAAAAGAAAGAGGGGAAGTGGCTTCCTCCCTCATGCTGGCAGCTCTGTTGCCCATTTCTCTGTTGCAGCACAGCACCCACTTTGATGCACCCCCTGGTAATTTAACAACCCGTTTGCCTGAACTGGTGCGAACTGGCTGAATCCCAACATTGCCTCAATCCATCCTCCACCACCAGAAAGGCAGTCTCCACCCATCTTTCCTTGCACCAGTTCAAAAGTGCTCTTACAAAGTAACTTTTCTACAGCTCCAATTCCTTCCCCTTTCCTAAAACGTGTTGGCATGTTCTTGCCTTACTTTTTAGGTAGATAAAACCTAGAATCTAGCAAGTTCATCTTCTGCAGTTGGCATCTGCTTTCCCTATTGATGGATTGACCTATGTCCTATCCCTGCTTCCCATCTCCCAGTCAGCATTTATTGAGAACTTTTTGTCATCTTTCTCTTCCCACAGCTTTACCATTTCTCCTGTTTCTTGGGCAAAAAGGGAAGAATAATGGAACTCTTGTCAAATTCAACTGATTAAATAAATGAACAAACAAATGAAAGGCCGCCTCCTGCCTCACTGTTTCATAAATGTCAATAAATAAATAAATAAGGTAGAAGGCCCAATATTGAGGAAGACACATACCACCCATTTTTGTCTACCCTTTAATTATTTCATTGGTGAACTAGTAAAAAACAAAAAAGGGCCACAATTTCATTGTTTCATCAGTGGCTATGGAAAAAAACACCACTCTGCTGCTGAATTTGTAAAAGAAAGGACCCCAGATGATCAAAACCAGTGTTCAAAAGGGAGGAGGCATTTCTGCCAAAGCACACAGTAATCAATTGGTGCGGAGGAGTTTGTCCACAATTAAATGAACGGTAGCAGATGAAGAAGATGATACAACCCAGTAGAAAAAGACAGTTGAAGGTGCCTTCTCACTGGGAGTGAATAAAGTATACAGCTGGATTTTCCTAGCCTTGATAAATGCTTAATAGCCTTTAACTATGCCTGACTATCACAAGCCTCAAGTTTTTAACTCATCAAGGCTCCTGTGCAATTGTTCATATGGAACCTTACTGGGAAGAATATTTTGCAGATTGCCAGGCAAACGTACCTATAGTAGGGGAATACTTTGATCTTGATTCTTTTTACTTTGTGAAGGAACCCTTGTCAATTCACAGTGCACCATAAGCTTGGGTGAGATGGGGGCTAGGTGTAGTGCAGTAGTGATTGGCCAACCTGAAGCAGACTCAGAACTGTTTAGCTCAGTGAGTGGCTAAATCAAAAGGACCAAACATAAGCAATAATTGACTGACGAGGTGCTCTCTGAATTCCATATATACAAGGCAACAACTTTCCGAAAGGGTTTGAGATCTTCAGGTAGTGATGACTATGTGGAGGGCTTGGGAGCTGATTTTATGGCACTGTATGTCATGAATTATTGGAAAATAAAACAGTTTTGTCATTTCCTGTAGAGCTGGAATGTCCAACCTTAACAACTCTAAGACCTGTGGGAGTTGAAGTCCATAAGTCTTAAAGTTGCCAAGGTTGGATACCTCTGCTGTAGAGTAAACCAAGCTAAGTACTCATTTTAATTATCATGCTGGCTGCACACATTTTCTATATAAGAATTTAGTCAATGACTGACAATTTAACAGTGGAGGTGCCTATATGTGTGTGTGTGTGTGTGTGTGTGTGTGTGTGTGTGTGTCTATGTGACTGTCTGTCTGTCTGTCTGTCTGAAATCTAAATGGTTCCAAGTTGTGAGTAAACATGGGTTATATCTGTAAGTCTTTAATGTGTGTAAGCAATCTGAAGTTTTATTTTCTTGGAATCATGTCAGCGCATGCTATAAACATATCCTGCCACTTTGAAATGTCATAATGTTGAATAAACCGTACACTTCTGAGACAGAAAATCTCCCCTTCCCCCAAATTATTAGAATTCTTTCATACCCCTGGTGACTACAAGACTTCTTTCTTGGGAAATGTCAAGTTCTTTCTTTTCATTCATCAATGCTACCCAGAAAAGAGAAAAAGAAAAAAGAAAGTGAGAATGAATGAATTCCGCTGTAATGTAAGAACCAGAATGATTCATTATTATATTGACTTTGCATGCAAATCATCTACTCAATCTCTCCCTTGCGGGACCTACAGCACTACTATAAGATCCAGCCAGCAGTCACACTTCCTACTGATCCTGTTTTTGGGAGAAAGCCTAGAGCACGTTAGAACTAGCATTAATCCTGGGTTATTCCATATACCTTGTCACCATGCAATTCAATAATTTTCACTTGACTTACAATTGTAATTCAGCCCACAATTTTGATCATAAATAGTGACAGATGAATGCCAGTTTCTGGCAAAACATCAAAATCACAATCACGTGATTGCAAACAGCCATAAAAGCGGCTGGTTGCCAAGCACCCAAAATGTGGTTACATAACCATGGAGGCAGATGTTGGAACTTCAAATCCAGGTTGTAAGTCTCATTTTCAGGCTCTATTGTAACTAAGTGATGATTTGTAAGGTCACTTAAGGATTACTTGTATAACAACAATAATAACCATTGTTCTATCCAGAAAAGAGGTGGGTTTTTTTTACTGTTTCATTTCTTCAAGCAGCAAAAAGAAGTTTTAAACATAACCAATTCTCTCCGTTTTCACATGAATGGACTAAAATGTCATCCTGAACTTGAAATAAAATTTTGTTCAAA